TGCCTAGTGGATCGCCATCTTACGCTGCTGTGGCATGATTGCCCCTAAGCAGCTAGCCTAGTAACCTACAGACCCCTTCTACTAACACAGCACTCTTAACAACAATAGACACACTCTACTGCATAATTAACACATCTAGGATTAAGGAGGTAGACAGGGAGAAGGCGAAACTAGGCAAGATTAGACAAGCTATTAAGGAGGAGATGCAGACAAACTACAAGCGCGTGGAATGGCGATGTGCGGCAGTGGTTAGGGACCTAAGGAACACTGATTGAATTAGAGTCACATGTAGGGACAAAAGTAAGCTCTAGGCGGTTAAAGAGGCAGCCCACAAGACAGCAGCTAGGGGAGTTAGGATACTGCGCGACCAGCTCTTCCCAATCAGGGTAGATAACGCCAACCGGCTAGCAGTGCTGTTAGAGGAAGGACAAATCCAACTAGGAGCCCTAGAGGCCCTTAGGGCTAAAAACAGGGTGCAGGTAGCAAAAGTTAGCTAGCTAAGTAGAAAGGATTTAGGAAAGGCATATAGATTAATAGTAGTGTATGTCACTAAAGGCAGCAATGCAGCCTAGCTGCTACAAAAACAGTACTTCCACATCAACAAAGAATCTGCATATACAAGACTGTTTAAACCGCGAAATAGACTATTGCAGTGCTACTAATGCCAACAGCTAGGGCACAAGGCATTCACATGCACGAGGCAGCAGGTTTGTGCTAGGTGCGCTAGCGAAGGACACCACCACAGCAAATGCCAAGTGATGGTCCCTAAATGCGTACCCTGTGGGGGCCCCCACAAATCTTTCTCTAGGAACTGTTAAGTGCTATACCCTAGTTAGGATGCCTAGGACGCTTAAGATATTCTAACTTAATGCAGGAAAGAGACATAAGGTACTGCACAGCGTAATAAATAACAAGCAACTATAAGACTTTGCTGTATTAGCTATTTAAGAACCTTATGCGTAGAAGAACAAAGAAGGGAGGATTATCACAACACTAGCTAGACACGCCCACTAGGCCAAATTTACGCCAACCGCATGTAGGGACAGGAGGTGGCCCTTCCGGAGTATGCTCTGGATACAGAAAGACATTAAGGCTGAACAGCTGCTAGTACAGTCGCCAGACCTCACAGCAGCGACGCTACGACTACCTAGTTGAACGGTCCTAGTAGTGTCAGTCTACGTTAAGATAAGAGATAAGCAAGCACTAAAGGAGACAATAAATTACATCTAGACCCTGATCTAAACCGCACACGACTGAACTAGGACGCGGGTGGACGTGGTCCTGGCAGGTGATTTCAACCGACACAACTAATTGTGGGGAGGGGATGATGTGTTAAACACTCACTAAGGCGAAGCAGACCCCATTATACACCTTATAGCAGACTATTCACTCTACAGCCTACTTCCCAGGGGCACAAAAACATGGCAGTAAGGAATAAGTAAGAGCACTATTAATTTAATGCTAACCTTAGACAACCTAGCAGCTACAGCACTATGCTGTAAAGTCTATAAGACAGAACATAGGTTAGATTACAGAGCAATTAAAATAACTTTTAATGTAGACACCCTAGGACAGCAAGCAGAAGCAAGACTATTGTTTAAAAATGCACTATAGGAAGCAATACAAACAAGAGTTAAGGAGACGCTTAAAGCTAAACTAATAGGGGGCAGTGTACAGCAACAGACAGATAGGCTAATGGGAGCAGTAATAGAGGCAGTCCACAAGCTAACCCTAAGAGCTAGGCCCTTGCTGTATGCAAAAAAATAGTGGACTGCAGACCTTACGCAGTTACAAAGGGTATATACGCACTAGAGGAATAAGGCAAAAGCGGAACAGCAGGCAGAAAGGACAAGTATAGAGACAGAACAACAGGCGAAGGCAGCAGCAAAGGAATTTCACAACGCAGCGCGGCAACAGCGCAGAACCTACTAGGAGGACTTTCTAGTAGACAATGCTAACATTTAGAAAGCTATAAGATACCTTAAGCTAGATAGTGCTGCAACATTTAACAAAATACCCCCTTTAGAGAGAACTAATAGATTAAGCACAGGAGGAAATCTAGAGATAGCAGACAAGTTGCTGCAGTTGTTCTTTCTACCGCTCCTAGACACTATTAAGAATGAGGGTAAACGCCAGCAACATAGCCTAGTCAGCATGCCTGACCTAACTATGGACAAAATAGAATGCTGTCTGTTCGCGGCCAAGCCGTGGAAGGCACCAGGCGATGATAGGCTCCTAGTTATGGTATAGAGGCAGCTATAGCTAGTTGTGAAAGAGAGGATCCTACTTTTGTTTTAAACATTACTAAGGGAAGGGGTCATCCTAGCACAGTGGAGAAACGCTTAAATTGTCCTGCTTAAAAAGCTAGAAAAGGGCAACTATAGAGTGGCAAAGTTGTAAAGACTTATCTCTTTACTATTAACTCTTAGTAAGATTCTTAAAGCTGTTGTAGCAGAGAGAATCTTATATGCAACAGAAACATATAGGTTACTTTCTACAAACTACTTTAGTAGAAGGAAACAGTAATTAGCAGAACAAGCGCTATTAATGTTGCAAGAACACATCTACAACGCATAGAGATCTAGGAAAGTGCTAAGTCTAGTAAGCTTTAACATAAAAAGGGCATACAACAGAGTATGCAAAGACAGGCTAACCTAGAGGCTCTGTGCCAGAGGGATACCACCAGGCCTAGTACAATGGATAGACGCCTTTTGCTCTAATTGTACAGCAACCATTACAGTTAACAGCTACACATCAGAGGAGAAACCGCTGCCCCAGGCAGGGCTCCCACAGGGATCCCCTCTTTCTCTAATTCTGTTCCTCTTCTTTAACACTAATCTAGTCTAACACTAGATTAATGCTTATAGCAGTTTATTTGCCTTTATAGACAACTATAACACTTAAGTAACAAAACCCTTAGCTAAAGAAAATTACATAAAACTTTAAAACATTATTAAAAGAGTAATAAGATAGAAGAAGAAAAGTAAGGCAACCTTTAAAAGGGATAAGACTACCCTAATATACTTTATAAGAAATAAAGGCAAAACAAGTGTAAAACTAGTAAGCATTAAAAGACAGCTAGTTAAACTAACAACAGAAGCTAAGATCCTAGGCGTTATTATAGATGCAGGGCTAAGATATAAGCAGCACATAGCAAGGGCAGCAGTAAGGGGCCTAAGGGCAGCCCTAGCGCTGAGGCGGTTACGGATGGTCTCCCCTGCTACAGCCCGGCAGCTTTTCAAGTTAACAGTAGCACTAGTGGTAGACTACGCATTAAGTGTATAGATGCACGCGTGCGGCACAATTTTAATAGGAGCAATAAACAGAATATAAAAAATAAGAGCTTAAGCTATTATAGGCTGCTTCTAGACAGTTGCTGCAGCTGTGGCAGAGGCAGAAGCGAGTCTACAGACAGTGCATAAACGCCACACAGTAAGGGCTATTAAGATGTAGATTAATGTCCACACGCTGCTAAGAACAAACTCTATGTTAAAATTCTATATTATAGGCTTTTAACAGTTTTAATTACTGCTGCAGAAGATTGCAGAATAGCTAGAGAGGCTTAATACTAACTAGATAGAAATAATTAATCTGCATAGTGTGCAGCTATAAGACTATTGCATCTTAGCAATAATTAAACTAGACTAAGTAAAGGCTATAACACTAGCTAACTAGTGTAATAGTATTAGAATTACAACAAGCGCATCTGTCTAGCTTAGTATAGTAGGGGTGGGAGGGGCAATAGACAACACGCGGAGGGGAGCGCCTGCTTAAGCTGCTACCTTGTCCTTCACCTTAGGACCTAGGACGGAGCAAAACCCCTACACAGCAGAGCTGGCAGCAATGGCGGCAGCGCTGACCTCCCTCCTGACATGCCAGACAGCGGACTAGGTCATCATTCTCACCAGCAGCCAAGCGGCCATACAGGCAATACGCTAACTGCGGGATTAGTCTAGCTAAGCTAGCATTAAACAGATCTACAACGCGACTTAGGCACTAAAGAAAAGGCAGTGCTCTGTACATATAGTATAGTGCCTAGCAGGAAGCAATAATTTAGTAAAGAAGGCTAAGGAAGCAGTAAGGAAAGCCACAGCAGACAGCAGCGTGCTAACTAGACCCTTTTACTAAGCAAGGTTAACAGTAACTAGGACTATAGTAAGAAACTAGGGACAGAGAAAAGACTTACTAACAGGAGTAGAGAGATACTTGCGCAAGATAGACATAGCTTTACTAAAGAAACACACTAAGAAGCTCTACAACACCCTAACCTAGTAAAAAGCAAAGATACTAGCATAATTACAAACTAGAATAACACAGCTAAACACGTACCTATACTAAATAAGAGCTGCAGACTTAAACATGTGCATATGTAGTTAGGCAGAAGAAACTATTTAGCACTTCCTTTTTTAATGCTAAAGATAGAACACACTTTAAATATAAATGCTTTAGCAAACAGAGACTAGAAGAGGAAACCTCCCCTTCTTTCTAAGAGGAAAGGCACTAGCAGACCTAGCAGAATAGTTGCTAGACATTAACACAGTAAAGATAATAGTTAGGTACGCAATAGCAACAGGCCACCTAAAGCAAAAAAGAAGATAGGAACCTAAAACTATAGAGACAATAGTAGAAAAGAGACGCTTAATACTAACCCTACATAACAGCAGGCTCTGCTTTACTTGCTAACAAAAGGACTTTAAACACTTAAAGAAGAGACTTTAAAAACGCTTACTACAAATTATAATTAGAGGGATATGTAACAACTACGCTAGATAGCAGAGCAGGAGGCATGTAAGGGCTACAAGGAGTTAAGCCATCACTAAGGAAGCGCTTAGGTAATAACGTACTAGTGCCCTCTAGGCTAGAGCCGGGCGTAATAAAGACATCATCAACATACCCCTATTCCCTTATGTATTTAGTCGCACCTCGCCCCTGTAGCTAGCTTAGTAGTTTTCTGATATCCTTTTGTACTAGGCCTATAGGTGTCAATGGCATTCCCAGGTTCAGAGTCCCCACGCACTCCCATATGCCTCTGAGTGGATTCCCACCGCATTCGGACCCATTGTCTTGCCTGCGCCGTTACACCTACTTCCACAAGTTCGTGTTACAATCCTTGCTTCGTGGAAGCACACGGGTCAATGGTATTCCTGATGGGGTAGGACGGATAAAAGGGGCCAACGGCAGGGTGTACAGTCCTACGTAAAGGCTATTGGGCTGATGGAGAGAGGTAGGGTGACCGGATCGTGGTTTGCCCTTAGGCGGCAGTATGGTGGCCGGGTCAAACGGTCCTGTTGGACAGGGTTGGAGGTATATATGGTGCAGATATACAAATAGTATTGCAGCTCTTTAGAAAGCTAAATGCTACTTAGTCTATGTAGAGAATAAACTAAACGTTAAACACACCTCCTAAAGGTTGTTTAATGTTAGAACTATATACATGTACAGAGAGTGCTAAGACGAGTTAGGCGAGTCTTACAAGTTAGCTGCTCTGCTAACTTGTTTGACTTGCTTCGCTCGTCAGGACTTGCGTCCTGCTACTTTACTAGATAGCGCATTCTTCCATTACCGCGGGTAGCTGCGCTGCTTCCGTAACCTCCGTGTCCTCCGACTGGTTCATAAGCGAGCCCTGTTCCAACCTGGCTAGGCTGTGGAGCACCACTGGTGGAGTTACGCTGGTCCAACCGTAGACCGTAACAGTTCGTACGTCTGACATGGCTTAGTCAACCCAGTCAAGATTCCTAATGATCCCATCACACATTGTAGTCAGAAGCGCAAACACAGTTTTAATAGAAGCAACAATAGCGGCGGTTAATACAAGCTCTGATGTCTAACAGAATCTCATCAGTGTTCTTAGTTTCTGTTCGTCTCTTAGGCGCAGGCGAATTTGTACCTCTCTAACTAATAAAATAATTATTTTATGTTTTAGCGTACTTTACAGGCAAGTTGCTTACACACCTAAGTTGCTTACTTTTACTAAGACTTTACTAAACTACTTTTTCTACACTAATGTATTCTTAACAACACTACTTAGACATGCTAAAAGAACATTAGATATAGCTTATACTCTAAGCTTTTAAATAAGATATAAAACTCTTAAAAAAACATGCTATAGCTATATATAAAGTTTTTTAAAAAATAATAAATAACTATAGCACTAAATAACTTTTATAAGCTAATTCTACAGCTAACTTATAAAGGCTAGGTGTAAGGCTGGATGTCCCAGAACGGGCCAGTATGGCCTCACCTGACCTGTTTGGAGGTCGTATGACCTGTGCTTCGTATATAAGCATGAATCCTGACAAGCGAAGCTTGGCAGCGATTCGTCTCTCTTACAATACACTCCTATCTTTCTCCGAAAGCTTGCTCTCAGTGCTATCCGTGCTACTTACCATCCCATCTTTACACTAGGTAATAATAAAAAAAGTAATTATTAAGACTATACTTAAGCTATATATATAAGGATTTTTCTTTTAAATAGTATTTATAGCTAATATAGCTAATTCTTTACACGCTAAGTGTAATCTAGGCTATATTAGTGTCACGATTGTGCACGAGTAAGGTTATAGAGCTTCACGGAGGTCTAGTTTAATTACTACGTGAGGTATTATAGTAGGTACAAGATGTTATGTAAGGAACAGAAAAGTTTAAAAAGAAATTAGTAATTAAATACTTAGCTTAAAAGTCTAAGCGCTTTAAGTATAAATTAAGCTTATTTTAGGTTTAGTTAGTGTTAAGGCAGTTTATGCTTAAGTTTATGTCTATGTTATATTATATTTATGTTAGACATGCACTAATAATACTCTAGTACACGTCTAATATAGTTATGTCTAGGATCTAGAGAGGATACTATAACAGTACTCCCTCTCTTATTAGAAAGGGAATCTTTTACATTAGTAGTTCTAGCATTAAGTTGTCTTTATTAAAGTATAGGTTTAGTTTAGATAAGTATTAGGCGTAGAATTAAGTTACTATAGAGTTTTTTTTATAAAGCTTTTATAAGTTTTTATAATAGTTTATTATATCTAGTCTATTTTATAAAGTATTTATAGATATATTTTTTTTTATTAAACTAGATGTTGAATGGGCTCCGACAGCTAGCTGCTTATGGTATGAGCACTTAAGTAGCAGGAGTAAGAGTGGTGTACGGTGTGCACAGCGTACGAGGTAGGTAAGGTGAGGGCAACATGTTTCTGGTTCTATTGCTCTTGTCTTTCCTCCGTACGGAGGAAAAGGGGGATATCTAGATGTTCGCGCACGGAGGTTCGCGCACGAGCATCATGTGACAGAGATACGTGGTCCTGCTCGTGCGCGATCGCTCGTATCCAGACTGTGACGCTGCTGCTGCGTACGGACACTGGCAACTTTTCTTTTTGTCCAAAGAGTTGCCTTCCGTACGCGTTACCTCCCTTCTGTCTGTGTAGGTCTATCTAATTACATTCTGCCTTTACTCCACCCCA